AGACAAGAATAGAGACAAGTCCTTTGTCTGAGGCTATTAGAATGTCATTTGTGACTTTAACCAGAGCTGTCTCTGTGCTATGATGTGGTCTAAAGCCAGACTAGAAAACTTCAAATGACTCATTGTTTTTTAAGTAATCACACAACTGTTTTGCGACTGCTTTCTCAAGAATTGTTGAGAGGAACGGAAGATTATAAATAGGTCTATAGTTGGCTAAAACCTCTGGATCGAGGTTGTGCTTTTTAAGAAGTGGTTTTATCACTGTTACTTTGAATGATTGTGGAACATAGCCTTATAATAAAGACATATTCTTAATATTTAATAAACAAGTGCTAGTTAATGTAAAAACTTACTTTAACAGCTTAGTTGGAATCGGGTCTAAGATACACGTTGATGGTTTAGAAGAAAGAATCATTTAATTCAATTGTTCGAGGTTTATGGCTGAAAAGCATTCTAATTTACTATCTAGTGTAATATTAGAACTTACATTTCAGGGAGCTGTTGATAACACTATACTGCTCAAAGGCAAGAGGTCATTCATTTAGTTTCTAAGAGTTACAATTTTATCATTAAAAACGCATTGCCACCTAAAACGCAGATGGTAATATCATTGTAATTAGATTTCGAAGTTAGATGTGCCATACACTATAGTTGTATCTTACACACCCAGTACTCCTTTGACCTCAGAGCTCCAGTCATAATAAGCTGTGAGTCATGTTTAATTCAATAAACCAACCATAAATACCAGCAGTTCATAGCAACATAAACCGAAAGACTGCTGCTGTAAATCACACCCTGCATGCTCATATCTTATTAACAACTAACAGAAGTTGTTTCTTCTCCTTAAATAAAAACATATCCTCTCATGATGTAATATTTAGCTCCTTAGCAGTGGTAATAAATACAATAATAGGCTACATATAGAGATTTATTTTAGATATTGCAGTTTAATTGACTGCCAAATACATTACAAACAAGTTAAATAATGGAAGTGTTATGTATACTAGCCTACTCATAATGAAGATGGACCACTTTAAATTGTAATTTTATCATATATATTATATTATTTCCATACTACTAATGTGCTCATGTAAGCAGGATTTTGAATGTTGCATCAGATAGGGTTTATAATGTGTCTGAAATAAATACTATTTACCTCTTAGACAAACAGAAATATAATGTATTATAACATGGATATATTCAAATGAATTACAAAACCCCCAGAAGTACAGAGCTTTGTTATCTGTTACTTTCCACCACCTCTTCTTTTTAGATACTTTTGATGAGGCTAAAACATTTCTCTACTGAGCAGCTAATGTGAATTTCCCTGTCACCCACTAGAGGGCAGGCTGATCTCTTTCCCAAATATCGTCCAGGCCTTTTTGACTGGTTGCATTTTTCATAAGCACATTGCACTTAAAGCTTAATTATACTATATCATTCAATTAGTGTGGTTTTTGCAACATTTAATTGCATACCTAATTAATTGTCTTCCTGCATTTATTTACTTATGATTACTTAGTTTCTTTGCCTGTTAATGACGTTTATTTCTCTGTTGATGTCAGTGCAGGTACACTGAGGACACTGTGTCAGATCTGTGTGCATTTTTCTTCTCTCCTGCCACAACTGGATTACACTCCCTGTCCCAGATGCCAACTCAAGAGTAAATTATTGCTGCGAGTGTGTATGCGAGAGATAGAGATGGATGGCTAGAGAGAAGAGGAGTGGGATGAGAGAGATAGAAATTGTTAGAGGGTGGTTGTCTTTGATATTGATAAACATTGTTTTGACGACTGATAGAAATTAAATTGTCTTCTCTGTCTTTGTTGGCCTTCCGTCTCTTTCTCTCACCCTTTTGCTCTTGTTGACCTCCTTCCCACTCCATCTCCTTGGGCCAAATCTCTGTAGGCAATTAATGTTGTTAACTACAAGACTGATTGCATTGCAGTGTCTTTTAAACAAGCAATTAATTTTCTCAAAGAGTCACAGGTCGTTCTGCTCCTTTCTTTTTCTCGTTCTAATCCTGACGAAGCTGCTGCACAACTTTATCCATCTGAAAACTATTGATTTTCCCTGTCAGTTTATCATTTGTGCTTCTCAAACACTGGCCAGTATTCTGCTGTGATAATGAGAAACCAAACTGTGACACTTCATACTAACACACTGAGACATTTCTTTTTGTATATCTCGCTGCTGTCGTTATTTTGTAGATAAGTATTGGAAATGAAACCACTTGACCTCGAAATGTGATCGTTCTTTTTCAGGAACAGCTTCTCTTTGAACGCGTCTGGCGGTATCAATGGAGCCCACACGCACACACCACATGCAGCCTGCTTCGCCTTTAAAAACATATTGATTTCTCTCTTTCGCAGGGAGCTTAATGCCATCGATCGGCCTGGCCCTTTCAAGATCAGCGCCAGTATAAGCATCTCTTCCCCTAACACACATGCTGCCTCTTTCCCCTCAGGTAATGACTGTCCTTGAGCTGGGGGGAATAGTTTGTCTGCATTAAGAGAGAGAAGTGCTTCTCGTGCCATGCAGTCCCTCTCTGTCCTCTGTGCTCCCTGGTAATGTGGTTAAACTATGGAACGTGTATTTGCCTCTTCGACAAAAGGTATGAGCGAATGCAGCACACACCTCCTTTGACCTTTATCATCAGACCATCCCCCCCCTCTCCTCCTCCTCACCTCTCAGTGGGTCGATTTGTATTTGCAATGCATTAGACCAGTGCCCTCTTTTTAGATTGAAAAAGTTGGCTTTACTCAGTCTGGCGTTTTGCAGGTAAAATGCATCAACAAGAAGGATGCTATGCTTTTCTACCATTTATCTTATCTTTTTTAGGCAATTTAGGATCAAGTTAATCACAGTCATCGGTCTGGTTATCTCCTAGAAAAACAGACACATTAAATGTTCTATATTGAACCATAGAAACACCCTTCACCTGCTGCATGAGCTACAGCACTGTTTTATAAACCTAGAGCTCTGAACACTCACAAGAAAAAGACACAAGAAAATTCACAAAACGAGAGGTCACAAAACCGTTTATAAGATGAGAAGTAAACACAGACAGAAAGGTTTAAGTTGGTACGGCTCACCATAAATGCAAACAGGAGTTATAGAGCAACCCTGTCATCCTTATTATTATTTTGAGCCATGTTTCTGGCCATTTAATGAATGGGAGTCTAGTATTAACTCTCTTCTAGCTCTGCTTTTGGTCTCTACCGACTCCCGAGGCAGACATGTGGCTCTGCCATGTTCAGCAGCTGGCTTACTCTTTCTGTTGGCTGTACACTACATCTACAATTCCATGCCAATTGGGCAAACTCCTGGTGGTAAGAATGTTTTAATTTAAAATGGTGTAGTTTGACCTTTTCAGGAGTAAAAACACACAAAAAATAAACAATCTGAGAGGGGAATTTCATTTTGTTGGTGACTTTTTAATTCATGTATTTCAGACCCTCTACTGGATATATATGGGCTGAGCACAGCATACTTTACAGCTATAACCTTCTTCGAAGTACATTAAGGATAAACAATACTATTCAGAAAAGGATTGAGAGTAAAATAAACTCAATAATTGTAAAACACGTTTAAAATAGACTAAGTAAATTACCGGTTTAAGTTATTGTGTGTTTGCATCAAAAGTGTGCCTTCTGTTGCTGTTTCTATCCTGTTTTCATTATTTCATATCTTCGTATGGCAAGACCTGATGTGTCTATTATTTTTTCTTCTTGTCTACTTTAATTTTTTCTGTTTAGCTTATTAGTTTGCTAGAAAGTTATTAAATACATGTTACATGTGACTCTAATGGTAGTATGTGTTTATTAACCTATTGTGCCATCTCTGGCACTGAAAAGATAGATTCTCAGGGACTACTTGTATAATGTAAAACTATTTAACATGTAGGTCTGTGCTGTGAGAGGCGTCGGGAGGTTCAGTTTACAGCGTGCCCCGGCCGGCCTGCGGTCGAATCTTGTCGAGCTCCCGGCCCCCTCTGCTGTCTCAACAATTAAATCAGTCAAGGTGAGTGGACTCTTTTTCTTTTCTACAAAGAATAGATCAAAAGATAAATGGATAAAAGCGCAACCTGGTTTAATAGTTAATACTAGTCCACTTTAAGACCCACGATAAAAAACTAATTGTCTTTACATTTCACCTGTATGTCAGCAGTTACCATGGAGATTTAGTGCAGATATGTGAGGCTCTGCTTAATGGTCTGACCTTAACCTTGCATTTTCTCGATTGAACGCTTTCATGATGTTGAAAACGCATGGGCATACTTTATACAGCAAATCAATATTTCAACAGCAGTCTATTCTCTTATCCGTCCTACGAACACATTAGTTATTCTTTTAATATAAATAAAGAAGGCAAAAAAATCTGCTTTGGTTAAAAAAATGTGAATGTTTTAAATTGTGTAAATCTTGTGAATTTTTTGAACTGATTTCTAAGTCTTCCATAGCCTTGAACAACCGTTTACAAACCTTTCCCCTCCCCCATCTGCATTTCTCTCTCTGCCCCTTTTTGCCCCTCTGTCCTGCTCTCTCGCTCTTTCCCTTTCTCGCTCTCTCTCTCCTCCAAGCTGTGTCTCTTTCCTGTGTGCTGGGGGGCCAGCAAAGGGGAAGTACACCGAGAAAGAAAAGCACTCTCTGAGTTCAAGTGCACAAGCTTAAAGATACAGCTGGCTTGAACAAAGGGGAATATGAATATGCAGTCGTGGAAAAGCAGAATAATGACCTATTGACAAGGCGGTTTTGTGCATGGAGACAATGTAGGGATCATTTCACAGAAAAAGGGGGGACGGCGGTGGTTAGAAAGAAAATGTGAACAGGAAAACAGACGAATACTCCTATACCCTCCCACCTTTTTTCCAATCTCTGTCCCTCCCTCTCTCCTCGCACGCATGCACACACACACACACACACACACACACACACACACACACACACACACACACACACACACACACACACACACACACACACACACACACACACACACACGATGACTGATGCCTTCTCCCTCCTTCTCTCGCATTCTCCGTTTCTAACCTCTATGCACCACTGAGACTTTTGTGTGTTTGTCCTCCCCTATAGCACACGGTGGAACCGGTTCTGCACAGCTCCAGCACAACGTTGAGACAAAAAGTACAAATGTTGTACTTTTCCTCACGCAGTTCATATCCTTTGTCCACAAGGCATGTTTTCTCTTCAAAGTCCTGAGCGTGGAGGGGTGAAAAAAAGAGAAATGGTGTCCGAGGAAGAGGAGACGAGGCAACAGTGGATCAAATGTGACCAGACTGGAGTGAAATAGAGATGCATCGCTGCAAGTCAGGAGGGAAAGCACTAACTCCAGAGTGGGGAAGAGGGGAGGGAGAGGAGGAATCAAGTTGGGATCGGGAAAGAACCGCGGGAAAAGGTGAGGAAAAAAAAAAGCTCTGACCTATTCAACATAAGCTTTAATTCTTCTAAATTGTTTTTATTTCAATCTTGAGCTTCTTTAGAAGGAAAAGTTATCTTGAAGACAGATTATTTCTGTCTTGTTTTCGCTGTCAGTCTCTTGATTTCTATGTCTGACTTTGCTATGCTTTCTTTTAGTTTGTCTACCTAAAGTCATTTTCCTTCCTTCCCCTCCCTCTGGAACCTTTTCCCCGTCTCCATGCTTCTCTCTTAACTCAACCATGCCTTTCATCTCATGTATTCTGTTGATATAGTTTGTGTTTATCGGCCGAAATGGCTCCGAAAGACCTGGCTGGTTTAGGGCCCAGTATAGTGAGGACGAAGGGGAAGGAAGAGCTGGGTTAGTGAACTCACTTTGTGGCATTATTGTGTGTCGATCACTGTCTTTGTCTATCATGTACTGTGTTTTTAGTATTCTGCCAGGCAGGGAATGTGTTGGACTAGCTTTGGTTCTTAGTTTCAGCTGATAAGAAGCTCTTGAAAAGATGACGGAGTATTTGAATTATTTGGCCATCATCCTCCCTACTCTGTAATTGTCACGTCCTACCCTCTACTTCCCATAACTGTTTGTTTTCTCAGTATTTGTGATTGAACTATTTGTCTCGCAGATTCCACTAACACCTAACTTTCCCGTTTAATGACCTTTAAACGATGGGCTCTCATCCTTACCTCCTGGATGCCCTCAGCCTTGTCTCTATTGTTTTATAGAGAAGTTACCGTTACCCCTGCATGTGCGCTCAAGCACCTGTGATATATTCTCAGTCAATGCATGCTCTTTACAAGCCTTTTCCATCACCATGGAGACCTTATACAAGCTTTAAGTCTCTGTACCCGTGACTGCATGCACCCCAAACTCACTAATGCACCCAGTTATCTCTCGGCCAGGGTGCGCCATTTGGCCGAGGGCAGAAATAGTGTTTCTGTGATCGGTTTATCGGAGGGTGACTGCGGGATGATGGTAGTCTTGATGTCACTGAATTCAGGTTCAACTCAAGGGCTTAATACTGGAGCTAAAGTCTCTGCCAGCTGACTTTGATGATTGGTGGTTGGTGGTTGGTGGTTGAGCAAAAGGCCGGCTAGTACAGAAGGACAGTCAAACAAACATGTTTTTATTTAGCTTGAAGTAGTTAAGACGATTGAGCCGTGCAATTAATGTGCCATGGTTAAAAACAAAGATGATCAGTTGCTCATTCATGTGAAGACCGTTCAATCTTAAGTCTAGAAGTTAAAGATGAACTTGGGTAATGAAGTCATGGTGAGTACATTTCATGTACGTCATTAACTCATAACATCACTTATTCATTACTGATGTAATTCACGAAGAGCTACTCCTCCTCTGTCTCTATGGAGAGATATGCTTACAAAAGCAAATGTAGGGCTGGTAAGGATCTCAATTTAATTTGAAGACCATTTTGGACACAAACAACATTTGGAACGGATGACATTGAATCAATAGGTAATGTGCTTTTCTCATTATCTTCTGTCAATCTGTAAAATCGTTTTTCTTGATTAAATTATTTAAATGCTTTTTTGTTAAACCAACATTCAGAATGCAGAGGTATTACCTACAATTATCACAACAAACTATAAGCAAATATTTATTTTAGAAGTAGGAACCTGGGAATTGAAAGAATTGTGTTGTATCTATTTATAAATGTTCTGTTTAAAATAAGCTTGAAATGTATGACAATTGACTAATTGCTTTAAATGTACCAGACCAACATACATCCTGGACAAAAAAAGTTACTTTTTACTGGTTGTACGCTTGGCTTAAAAAGTCTTAGTTCAGGGCTTTCCTTTGTCGGTCGCAGGCACTCGAGGTCTGTATTGTTCGTGCCCCTCAGCCCCTGGCCACTCAGGCCTCACCTCCCCTGCTGGCGCGCAGGGCAGGTTGGCGGCAGCCTCTGAGCTGCAGGTGCTACATTTTTAACTGACCACCATATTCCGGGCCTCATCCCGACTGAACACATCGGGTTCTGTCCTAAGGAGAACCGTACATTAAGCTTTAGTATTATTGAACAATACAGTATATTGTGTTAATTATCAGCACTGAACAGAATGATAAAAATAACATAGCATATCGTCCAACACTACCGCATACTGACCTTCATGAATTAGCGAGTGGTGTGATGTTATCCAGCAGTGGGTGCTTGCTGTGTTCCTTAAGACTTCACAACTTGACTTCATTACAGTGACTTCAGTAATGTATCCCCTGTGCTCGTCTAACTCAGCAGTTTAAAGGCTGGCTGTCTTGTCACCTATGGCCCAAATACAACTGGAATTACTTTCTTGTGTCAAACCACTTAGAAAGTAACTTTTTAAATGTTGAGTTGTGTGGTGTTAAATCATTAAACCTATAGTACAGGTGCTGATGCTTGTCTTGGAGATAGCCCGCTGATAGCCTGCATATTGTTCTGATCCATGATTATTTAGTACCTTTTTTAAATATGTGGGTTGTGCATATTTCATAAATCAAATATTAATCTTTATTGAATACTTTTGTTTAGAAACAATATTAAAACAGAGAATAGGAAACTGTTGTGGCATTAAGACATCATATAATATTGCTCAAAGTATAGAGGCATTCAGGACATTTCCAAAGCACAGCTTCTCTTAACAATACGGAAATAATGGATTACCCTTGCTTATTGTACTGACAATGAATGTATCGGTTATTTAAAGCCTCTTCAACTTGAGCCATCCACTTACTGATCCCAGCACATCTAAACTTTAGAGTGCAGAGGAAGCCATTAATGTGTTTCACTTCATAAAGCATAACTCGGCCGTCGCTATCAATTATGTAGCTCTGGTGTGAAAGAGACGCGGAAAGGGCCACACACACCAGGCAGGGTCCGGCGTGGAAGGAAGCACCGCACCATGTGACTCACGCTCTCTGACGGTCTGGGTGAGAGCTGTTCCCCAAAGACTCAGTGTTCCAGTTGCATCAGTGTTTGCGGGCCTTCTCCAGGACATGAGATGGAGCTGGAGCTGAAAGAGCTCCATCTGGAAACCCATAGGGGTTTTCTAATTTATAAGCTAAAATAAACTGTATGCGCCGCACATAGCACAAAGTTTAAATCTCTGACTGATGTGAAGATATGGTAATTATTTTCCATTTGTAGGAGATTCATATCTTGATATTATTCTCAGGTCCTCTGCCACGTTGTTGTTGATTATTGTGTGAGATAGCTGTTGTGTTTGTCTCTGTTGAGGTGATGAAGTTTATGTGTTTTGTCATGTTGCTTTTTACTACACAATTTACCAATAACTTAAGAAACTGGTTTATCTTGAAAAAAATGTGCATATTTATAGATCAATCTTCTCAATGGTACATATAATATTTAAAATTGGCTCCACCTTGACCAAATACATTAACATGCTCCTATCATCTTAATAGTCGAAATACAAATCTAATACTATTCAATATATAATATAATAACAAAAAGGACATTCTGCATAATAGGTTAATTTACTTTTAATACTTCTATGATGTTTTTTGTTACAAATACTTTCAAGACTAGCTACATTTTGTAAGTGACCTATTTGTTTTTTAAGTGAGATATTTCAACTTTTACTAAATGACATGATCTAAATACTTCTACTACTTTTCACTGATATTTCTGGTGTCAGCATAGACTGATGGTCAGCCAAGTAGCAAAAAAGCAATATGTTTGTTTGAGATTGTTTAAAAAAAGTCACTATTAGACAGGTTGTCCAACAGACTATATATATGTCTCTCCTGTGACAAACTACTATCAATTAAAGGCCACAAATAATTAAAATTCCTCCAATATTAGTTGCGTGACATCTTTAACTTTAAGAATTTCCCAAACTTTTTTGTACTGACCTTTGAATGGTTTCTAAAAATAATTGTGCATATTTTTTAACGCTAAATACAACATTAATGTCCAAATATTTCTCTCAGATAAGATCACTGTTAATATTTGCATGCATTTTATAGCTACAGTATATTCAGTGATAATGTAAATATCTGCATCTGATCTGTGGGCTGCAGAATTGCAATAGACTCATGAATTATTTTGAATCTTAATAATGCTCTCTCCACGCAGTCAACAATGACAATGATTTAAAAGCAAATCCTGAACTTCGATAGAAACCAAGAGCACTTGATTCAGCAGAGCTCCATTGCTTAGATATGTTGCCTTTCCTCATCCTCAGGAGTTTTTCTGTATAAAGAAATGGTCAGACTGCTTGGTTGTTAATCAGGAGTGAAGTTTGCCTACGTCTCGATTTCTTGGCACTCATACACAGATTACCACTCCTTAGCATTTGGTGAGGACCATGTTTGCAGTGTAGCTGTAGCACCTTGAATATTTGTGTCTGCCCTTCACTTCACTGTTAGAATACATCAGTTGATATCAATGAATAGTTTCCTCACGGAGGGCCCAGGTGGCTGCCTCGTGCATTCAGACGGAGGCAGAGGTGGTGAGGTGGGGGTTAATATTTGCAGGCTGTAGGAATGTGTTTGGAGTCAGCAGTGAGAATTCCTCAGTTCTGCATTAGTAGGTCTCAGCGTTGCCTCAAACCTCACCAAACTATCTCGTTCCCCTCTTTTCCCCTCTTCCCCCATGTCTGTTTCTTCGTCTTCCTCTACATTTGATCTCCGTCTTTATCGCTACGTTTCTTCCTTCTGTCTCGTCTCTTTCTTTTAAGTCCTGTCTCACCATCTCCCTCTCCTCTCGGGCTCTTTAGAGTTCTCTGAGACATTTTAAGAGCCTCAGGAGTTGGGGGTTGGGTAAAAAGCGAGACATAGTGCATCTGTGTGTGAGTGTGATAATTCTAGCACAGCTCTCTCTCTACTGCTAGCATCATGTCCTTTGCAGTACGTCAGTCATTTAAGATTTATGGAGCAGGTTCCAGGAGGAATGGGCTTGTTGATGTAATCAGGCATTGTCTATTCATAACTTCTCATGAGGTAGTTCCACTTTAGACCAGGAA